GATGACATAAATCAAAGCAAGATCCTCTATGACTCATCTCCTAGAGTAATGGAAATAAAAATAAAAGTAAACAAGTGGGACCTGATTAAACTTAAAAGCTTTTGCATAACAAAGGAAACTATAAACAAGGTGAAAAGAAAACCCTCAGAATGGGAGAAAATAATAGCAAATGAAACAACTGATGAAGGATTAATTTCTAAAATATACAAGTAGCTATACAACTTAATGCCAGAAAAACAAACAACCCAGTCGAAAAGTGGGAAAAAGACCTAAAGAGACATTTCTCCAAAGAAGACATACTTATGGCTAACAAATAAATGAAAAGATGCTCAATACCGCTCATTATTAGAGAAATGCAAATCAAAACCACAATGAGATATCACCTCACACCAGTCAGAATGGCCATCATCAAAAAGTCTACAAACAGTAAATGCTGGAGGAGGTGTGAAGAAAAGGGAACACTCTTGCACTGTTGGTGGGAATGCAAATTGATACAACCGCTATGGAAGATGGTATGGAGATTCCTTGAAAAACTAGGAATAAAACCACCATATGACCCAGCAATCCCACTCCTAGGCATATACCCTGAGGAAATCAGTGTTGAAAAAGACACATGTATCCCATTGTTCATTGCAGCACTATTTACAATAGCTAGAACATGGAAGCAACCTATATGTCCATCGACAGGTGAATGGATACAGAAGTTGTGGTACATATACACAATGGGATATTACTCAGCCATAAAAAGAATGCATTTGAGTCAGTTCTGATGAGGTAGATGAACATAGAACCTATTACAGAGTGAAATGAGTCAGAAAGAGAATGATAAATATTTTATTCTAATGCATATATTTCTTTGGAGAAGGAAATGGCAACCCACTCCAGTATTCTTGCCTGGAGAATCCCAGGGACAGGGGAGTCTGGTTGGCTGCCGTCCATGGGGTCGCACAGAGTTGGACACGACTGAAGCGGCTTAGCAGCAGCAGCAGCAGCAGCAGCAGTAGCAGCAGCAGCAATGCATATATACAGAATCTAGAAAAATTGCCCTGAAGATTTTATTTACAGGGCAGCAGTGGAGAAATAGACATAGAGAATAGACTTATGGACATGGGGAGAGGGGAGGAGAGGGTGAGATGTAGGGAAAGAGTAACATGGAAGTTTAAATTATCATATGTAAAATAGATAGCCAACGGGAATTTGATGTATGGCTCAGGAAACTCAAACATGGGCTCTGTATCAACCTAGAGGGGTGGATGGGGAGGGAGATGGGAGGGAGGTTCAAAAGGGAGGGAATATATGTATACCTATGGCTGATTCACATTGAGGTTTGATAGAAAACAACAAAATTCTGTAAAGCAATTATCCTTCAATAAAAAAATAAATTAAAAAAAGAGAAAATATAATAAAGGTCATCCTAACTGGTTTGAGGTGAAATCTCATTGTTGTTTTGATTTGCATTTCTCTAATGAGCAGTGATGGTGAGAGTCTTTTCACATAACTGTTGGCCATCTGTAAGACATCTTCAGAGAAATTTTTACTCAAGTACTTTGCCTATTCTTTTATCAGGCTACTTATTTTTCATTATTATTTCTGCTATTGAGTTGTATGAGTTTCTTATGTATTTTGAAAATTACCTTTTTATCAGATGCATAGTTTGCAAATATTTTTCCTTTTCTGTAGGTTATCTGTAGGTTGCCTTTTCCCTCTGTTGACTGTTATAACATAATGCCTATAGTTAACCAAAAGGTATTGTACACTTAAAATTTTGTTAAAAGTGTAGATCTCATGTTAACACATGCAAACACACACCCACATGCAAACATAAAAAGGATGTAAAGAAATTTTGGAGGTGATGGTTATATTTATTAGTCTGATTGTGGGGATGGTATTGAGTATATATGTGTGCCTGCTAAGTTGCTTCAGCTTTGTCTGACTCTTCGCGACCCCATGGACTTATGGACCCTATGAGGGTCCTCTGTCCCTGGGGGTTCTCCGGAAGAGAATACTGGAATGGGTTGCCATGCCCTCCTCCAGGGGATCTTCCAGATTCAGGGTTTAAACCCACATCGTCTCTTACATCTCCTGCATTGGCAGGTGGATTCTTTACCACTAGTGCTATACTATATATAATATAGCACTATAAAATTTATACACACACACACACACACATATATACACTTAACAAATTGTATATGATAATTATATTTGGATTTGTTTTATTCCAATTATCCCTCAATAAAGCTGGAAAAAAGAAAAAAAATAAGAAACTGATCTTTGAAAAACCTATTTAAAGGCATAGAAAGACGTGCAAAGGAAGACCTCCTTTTGGAAATTTTTTAACCCAAGGGGTGCATATGTGTATTCACAGAGCAAAGACTATAAATATACATTAAAATACATAGAAATTGTTTCTGGGTAATAGGATTCTGGGTTATTTAAATGTTTTCATTTTTTCTTATTTGTACTTTCTAGATTTTCTATGCCAAGCATATAATAACAATGATAAGAAAAACCCATGTTATCAAATATCTGATTTTAAAAGTACAAAGTGAGATGATAGTTCTGCCTATAAGAGTAAATAGAATGCATTTTGTGCGCCTTCCAAATAAATAAAAGCAGAGTTGTTGATAGGGAAGAGATGAAGTAGAGAGAGCAACCACGTGGAGAATATTGACAGGGAGGATTCTTCTAAAGAATAAAAATGACCCACATCAAGTGTATAATTTGAGATATTGGCTTTGAAGGCTAGTATCTTGTTTTTCTACACAGCACTGAGACTACTAAATGAAATTTCCTATAGCATGCATGTCAGCTCATTCAACAGTCATAGCCACCATCATTACAGAATATTTTACACTAAAATCCACTTTCACTTATATACTATCTATTTCACAGGTGAAGAATGTCAGGTGCAGGAGGCTCACTGGCTAGCCTTCAGTAGTAGAATTAAAAGTGTTAGTCAGTCAGTCATATCCGACTCTTTGCAACACTATGGACTGTAGCCCACCAGGCTCCTCTATCCATAGGATTTTTCAAGCAAGTATTCTAGAGTGGGTTGCCATTTCCCCCTTCAGGAGATCTTCCTGACCCAGCAATTGAACCTGCATCTCCTGTGTCTCCTACATTTCAGGTGGATTCTTTACCCTTTAAATCCTTGTCTTTTTCCTGATCAACTCACGCTAGTGTGAGCAGAGGGGATCTTAAAGAGGCTGAAGAAATTGGAGACCTTGGGTGTTACTACATCTCCATCACTGAGTGTCTGGCTCCCAATGGGGACCTACTTAAGCATTTAGGGACTGATGAGTTCATTTGTGAGTAATAAATGGTTCATGGCATTGGTTCTCAAATCTCAGCAGGCAATAGGAGGAACACATCCCAAGAGTCTCTGATTCAGCAGGTGTGAGCTGGGGCCCAAGAATTTGTATCTCTAACAAGTTCTCAGGTGAAATGGATGTTCTTGGTTTGGAATCATGCTTTGAGAATCCCTCGTCTAGCACTGTGTTCCTTAAAGGATCAGCAGGAGTGGCATCTACCCAAGAATTTGTTAGAAAGGCAGATTGTTGACCCCAGCTTGACAATCAGAATCTGCATTTACAAGATCATCAGATGATTATTATAGATGTGAAAGTTTGGGAAGCAGGGCTTTAGTACACAGGTTCTCAAATATGAGTTGGGTAAGCCATAAACCCAGAATGGGATGTGTGACAATCTTGCTGCAGATGTATTTTTCTCACAATTGTGATTGAAACATAAACTAGGATTTAGAAGTTTCTGAACCAGAATTTGGGCTTTCCCAGTGACTCAATGCAGGATCTGCCTGCAATGCAGGAGCCACAGGACACATGGGCTCGATCCCAGGATTGGGGAGATCCCCTGGAGGAGGAAATGGCAACCCACTCCAGTATTCTTGCCTGGAGAATCCCATGGACAGAGAAGCCTGATGGGCTATAGTCCACAGGGTCACAAAGAGTCAGACACAACTGAAGCGACTTTGCACACACACACAAGGCCTGATACTTCCTGAGCTCTGCCAATGGCTAAGTTAAAACATCCTCAGTCCTGGTATTCGGAAAAAGAGAATTGGAGCATATGAGTGTATAGTTTCTGAATTCAGCAGATCAATTTCATGTTGGATGAGAACTGAAGAAAAGTGGCTACTTGTTCTCTCCTCTTTTGCGTGAGAACTATAACGAAAAAGCTATTTCACTCTCCCAGCAACAATGGCTCAGAGTCAGCAGTCAGCTTATTGCCTGCCTTGAAGTTATCACTGTGGCCAGCTTGCGCTCTGTGGCTCTGATGGGCGGTGTAGGGGAGGAAGTGGGGGACCAGATGGTGGAGATTGTATGTTAGGCCCTGTCACCTTCCTCCTTGTAATGTTAGTCTTGAAAAAAAACAACAAGAAGAAAAATTTACTTTTTACTTACCTTGAATAATGTCCAGACTCTTCTATTTTTCATACTCTTTCTCTGCAGTCTTCTGAAGTATCAGACCACTGAGGAAAGGCATTTACATTTGATTTGATTTTCATAAATGGAAGAACAAACAGACGTTTGTTCTGTTTTTAACTTTATTTCTTTTTCTTATAGGAGGGTTTCTTTTTGTGTGTTTGGAAGAGGACAAAATATTGAGAGTCTTGAAATCTCAAATTTCTGAGAAATAGGGATAGTCCTTGCCCTATCTTACTCTGAAATCCTGAAATTTTCTTGAAAGCAAAATGAACCCAGAGTGTTAGATTTATTCTCTAATGTTTCAGCCTGATTTTCCACACTCCACACACACACACACACACACACACTCACACTAACATCTCTTCCTTTTGCCCTCCCCTGCCTTCACTACCATGCCTATGCCCATCCTCTGGCAACTTGTTATTGGTGAAAGCATGAATCAGTGGTCAGATGTAACATCCTGCCCCGTTTTGTGGCCACTGTTAAACTTTGGTCAAGACACCCCAAGTGGAATTAAACTCAGGATCTGAGAAACAGAGTCACAGTGAGAGAATGGGAAATAATCTCATGAGAGAAATCAGGTAAGTCCTGACTCTGGGCACAGCCCTTCTTGGGAGAAGAGACAGGAAGAGGGAGGTGGGGTGTGTGCATTTGGAATGGTGGATCAGTTGTGCTTTAAGAAGGTTGAACTTAAAGACAGCATCTCCTAAGAACACACAGGAAGCTCCCAATCCACTTTCTCCTGGCCTACTTTGGAACTGTGGTAGGTTGCCAGATTTAGAAAATAAAAATACAAGATGCCAGTCAGATCTGAATTTCACAGAAACATATGCATTTTTTTTTCTTCAGTATAAGTATTCCTCATGCAATATCTGGAGCACTATTGCACAGGTCATGTGCTGTGCATGGGTCATATTTAAACTGAAAAAGTTGTTGTTTATCTGAAATTCAAATTTAACTGTGCATCCTGTCTTTTATCCAGCAACCTGGGTCTGTGATCACTTGAATCTTCCTACATCTTTTTCTTCATCTGGGTAGAGGGCTTATCTTGCCATTCATTGACTTCATGGGATCAGAGTGAAAATAAACACTCAGGTTCTTACAAATTGTTGAAGCAAAATAATTCACTCAAGTGTTTTTAACTTAAGTAGTGCCTTTTGTGGGTGATTTTTATCCCTATCCTCATCAAACACTTCCCTCTTTCTCATAGGTAAATAATTTTTTCTTTGCCTAAGATATATAGACACACTTCTTTTTGTTGTTATTGGAATGACTTTTATTTTATTCTTTATTGGAATATACTTGCTTTACAAGACACGTCTTTTTTATCCATTCATCTGTGGTCTTAGATTGTTTCCAAACAAGATATATCAAGTGTTGGCAAGGGTGTAGAGAAAAAAGAAAGACCTGTATACTGTTGGTGGTTCAGTCACTGTGGAAAATAATTTAAATAATTAAAAAATGTAACTATCATATGATCTGGCATTCTTGCTTCTGGGTACATATGCAAAAGAAATGAAACCAGGATCCTCCTATGTTTGTTGTAACATTATTCACAACAGCCAAGACATAAAAATAACCTAAGTATTGAGCAACGGATCAAAGGATAAAGATTGTCTTTTCTTTTTTCTCTTGTTTTTCTTGATAACAGTCATACTAATGAGGTGATATGTCATGTGGTTTTGATTGATTTGTATTTCTCTGATAGTTAATGATTGTTGTTGTTCAGTCTCTAAGTTGTGTCTGACTCTTTGTGACACCATGCACTGCAGCATGCCAGGCTTCCCTGTCCTTCACTGTCTCCCAGGGTTTGCTCAGACTCGCATCCATTGAGTCGATGAGCCATCCAACCATCTCATCCTCTGTTGCCCCATTTTCCTCTTGCCTTCAATTTTTCCCAGCATCAGGGTCTTTTCCAAAGAGCTATTGTTGGCCATTTGGATGTGATATGTAATACAGGTAGATTGATCTGGCCTTGCGGCACTCAACATATTGCTCCTGTGTTCCAATGAGTATATCCGTTTCCCACTAGCTAACATCTAAACTGTGGAACATTTGTTTTAGAATTTAAAGTCCTATATATTGTTTTAATCACTCCCTCCTTGTTCTCTTTTCTCTTTGGGCATTGCCTCACTGTCTTCCTTAGCAACCAGCCTCTAATTAAGTACTTTCTACTTACTAATGGAGTCTCTCCAAGGCAATTTTTACTTTGAATATATCTTTACAGCCCCTATAACTGTCTAGGATGTAGAGCAAAATAGAAATCTAAAGAATGTGTACTTAGTTAGTTAAATATACCTTTTCCCCCTCTTTTGTCATAAATATGTTGTATGGATTTTGTCAATCTGGTCTCTTGGCCAATTGAGTTCAGGTGTGCCTTGGCTGTCAGAATTCTTGCCCCAAGGTTCATTTTCAACCATTTTTTATTTGTCAAAATATAATATCCCCTCTACAGTGCTGTGGCCAGATATTACATCTTCCTGGTCTTTACCAGAAATTATTCTTTCACAATTCAATGACTTGTAAATGGTTCATACACACTGATGATTCTAAACGCATTGTGTTCTGTCATGGTTATATGAATGTAAGACTTTTAGATAATGTATTCTCTGGCCATGAGGATAGTACTCTTAAACTCTGAAAAGCCCTGAAATTCTTGCTAATGATCTGCAGAAAGAAGACTCTCAATAAATGTTTTCTGGCTAGTGTGAAGACGCATGTGCACTCATTGGAGAAAATCAGAGGTTAAAATTGTCCTCTTCAGATTACTGAGACTTAAAGGAGCTTTCCATTTTTAGCTGTCTTCCTATCTGTATTGATTTTTAAAATATCCAACCTTATCTGTTACCGTGTTCTGATAAGGTTGGTGGTCTCTTTCAAAACAGCCATGAATTGTGCTTACTTTACAAACATGAAAGCATCATGAGGATGCTGATTCAGTTCAACCATGTTGTAAACGAAGCCAGTTAGACTCAGAGAGATGAAAGTGTCTTGGTTTGTTTACCCTCATCGTTGCAAAAACCCCTTCTTATTCTACTCTTCATGGGATGGCAAAGAGTCAGACACAACTGAGCAACTAACACACACACACACATATTCTACCCTTTAGCCACTGCTTTCTGCTTAGGATCCTATTCCCACCTTCTGGAGAAACCTATCAGCTAGATTTCATATCTATTTTAAAGTTCAGGAAGATGTGAAGAGGAAGTAGACAGATGTTATCTTAGGATTTCTCATGGTTGTCATCTGTGAATGATGCCTCCACAGTAAGAGAATATTCTAGGCCCTCCTGCATGCCCACAAACTTCAAGGCAACCAGATTCTCTAGTACTCAAGGAACTCACAGGACTGAGTGAAGTATTCAACTTGCATTGATAGTAGAGACTAATAATTATCTCAGGCTTGCTCTCTACTCTATACACCATTAAGAAGGTCATAAGGTTATCTCATTATTTTTCCATACTAAGTGGTTATTTTTATCCTTAGGTATGGTTTGATTGGAAAAATACAATATTAAGTATAAAAGTGTTGGATTTTTGAATATATTTATTAATTGGTGATGGGAGGTTATTTTATTTCCAGTAAGTAAAATATGGGTAATTTCTGTCTAGAGTACTCTTTACCTTGGTGAACTTCAAAAGGCAGGTTAGCAGCACTGCTTGCAGTTCATACAACTGGATAAAGGAGAAATGAATAATTTCTAATAACTAATTCACCTGAGAAATCATGAAGCTAGATTAAGCTTATATTTGATAATTGTCCTGTTTTTCTTGTGATCCTGAATAAGCTCCTTGGTTTCTATGATTGCATAACTGTATGTCCACTGTGAGGGTAATAATATTGCCAGATCCTAGGTTTAGTTGTGATGATAAAATGAAACAATGTATATGTGTTAGTGGGCTTCCCTGATAGCTCAGTTGGTAAAGAATCCGCCTGCAATGCAGGAAACTCCAGTTTCGATTCCTGGGTGGGGAAGATCCCCTGGAGAAGGGATAGGCTACCCACTCCAGTATTCTTGGACTTCCCTTGTGGATCAGCTGGTAAAGAATCTTCCTGCAAGCAGGAGACTTGGGTTCAATCCCTGGGCTGGGAAGATACCATGGAGAAGTGAAAAGCTACCTACTCCATTATTCTTTCCTGGAGAATTCTATGGACTGTACAGTTCATGGGGTCTCAAAGAGTTGGACACGACTGACCAACTTTCACTTTCACTTTTCATATGTTAGCAGGAACATCAGTTCAGTTTAGTCTCTCAGTTGTGTCCAACTCTTTTTAGCAGAAACATAGTAGCTGATTAATGATGATACCTATTATTTAATTCCATTAGCACTGAAGTCAACTTTATTTTCAGATTCTTGAGTTACAGTGCATTTTGTCTCAGTGAATTACTCATAGAAATTATTTAATTCACAACGAACCCCATTCAATGCACTGCAGATATGATTGAGAGCAAGACAGAAAAAAATTATACCTCATGGAACTTGTTCTAGCAGGAGAAATGGGTTACAATTTTATAAATAGTGCACTTCAGGGAGTTAAAAGCACTATGAATGAAATATAGCAAAGAGAGCGGTATGATGTCATGGAGTGCTAATACTAGAGTGACATGGGTAATTGGGAATAAGCAGATTAGGCAAAAATCTGTGGGATTAGCTTCCAGACAGAGACACCATATGTAAAGGCCCTGAGGAGAGTCAGAGTATGGTGTGTAATGGGATGAGGAGGGCAGGGGACCTGAGGTTAATAGGGTCACCACTTGGTTACTTCATATTTTACAACTGCTTGTCCTGGGCTTTTTTTTCTCTGTTATTGAGATAAAGTTGGTATGCAAAATTCATATATTTAAAGTATGTATTTTTCAGTTGATACATATTTACACTTCTGTGATATCATCACCACAATTCAGGTACTATTATCTTAATTAGTGGAGATAATTAAGAGTGAAATAGAGGAGAGTGAAAAAGCTGGCTTAAAACTCAACATTCAAAAAACTAAGATCATGGCATCTGGTCCCATCACTTCATGGCAAATAGATGGGGAAACAGTGGAAACAGTGGCTGACTTTATTTTGGGGGGCTCCAAAATCAGTGCAGATGGTGACTGTAGCCATGAAATTAAAAGATGCTTGCCCCTTGGAAGAAAAATTATGAACAACGTAGACAGCATATTAAGAAGAAGAGACATTACCTTGCCAAGGTTTTTCCAGTAGTCATGTATGGATGTGAGAGTTGGACCATAAAGAAGGCTGAGCGTCAAAGAATCGATGCTTTTGAACTGTGGTGTTGGAGAAGACTCTTGACAGTCCCTTGGACTGCAAGGAGGTCCAACAAGTCAATCCTAAAGGAAATCAGTCCTGAATATTGATTGACTGGAAGGACTGATGCTGAAGCTGAAACTCCAATACTTTGCCCAAGTGATGCAAAGACCTGACTCATTTAAAAAACCCTGATGTTGAAAAAGACTGAAGGTAGGAGAAGGGGACAACAGAGGATGAGATGGCTGGATGGCATCACTGACTCAATGTACAAGAGTTTGAGCAAGCTCCGGGAGTTAGTAATGGACAGGAAGGCCTGGCGTTCTG